TCGTTATAGTGGTCGTCGGGGTGAGGCGACATGACTGGTTTGGTAGAGCGACGACTGTGGTTGACTTGTGTGTTGCTTGTCCAAATGAAAAGTGAGCTTGGATGAAACGCAGAAATGAATCAATGGTCTGCTTCAGTAGCTGAACGCGTTGAAGTTGTTGTCGTAAATGTTGTGGTGCAGCCACAAAGACCGTTCATTCCCTTCTTTTTATGTGTTGGTGCTTCGCGTGTGGACACAAATCCATCAACTGTACGCTCTCGCTCAGCGAGATCGGTCAGCGAGTCGTTGACCGATCTGCACTGTCTCTGCGTTCAAAGTTGCAGTTTACGTCTCTATGCACGATTGATACAGAAATGATCTCGTTTGATCTGCATGGTGCAGATTCTCGATTCACTCGATGTTAACTGTATGTTGGCAGAAACCTTTAAATTAAAAATCTTGCCCCTAGAGCAAGAACTTGTGGCCGTTTACCAGATACAATTAAGTTAGACTCTGTGCATAGCTATTCGTTCTCGTTGCTCTTGGTATACTTGTATCTAGAGCCTTTACAGTGTATCGAAGGCCCTGTAGGTCGAGACGATTACGGCAGACAGCTGGAGCAGCGCGCCTCGATCCCTGCGTATGCGTTCATGATGAACGGTTCATCGGACTCGTCCATTTGATTTATTTCACATAGATCGGCCCTCTGTGACAGGAAAACGAATCGTGAGCTGGTCTGTCTTGCAGTTTGAGCGTGCGCTGTCGGCTGCAGGCTCAACCTGCCAGGCTGTTGAACCTCTGCTGTCGACCACGATACAGATGAGAGCAACGGGGAACCCACGCGACGGTTGGCAACGTGACTCGTCGGCTAACTAAAAGAACTGCGATTGTGTTAACATCAGTACCTACCTGGAAAAAAAATTCTGCTTGGTTTTCAAAAGTGTACATGTATCCGATAAGCTATAAATGCGGTGCCATTAGCACCGCGTGCGGCAAAGCCTCCATACATGTACCCCCATGTCAAGACAACTTCAGCACCTGAAGTTCAGGAGCAGTTTTTGCCGGAGCAAAGGCTGGAGGCTGAAGTCTCTTCTTCGCAATAATCAGACCGACGGTTGAATTTATTGGAGTAAACTTTGGTAAAACCGGGTCGGCTTTAATCGACATCTGCACAGATTATGTTAGAAATAATGTCCATCATCGCCGAAAAAGAAGTGTCCACATGTGGACCAACTAGAGCAAGAGCTGTTGCCTCGTTCTGCTCGAACCTGGAGTCGAATCCTCGGGTCCGATCTATGCTAAATAAATCAACTTGACCACGTTGAAGCAGTGAAGCGAGACCGAGCATGGAGCTCAAACTTTGGTTTGGCGTAATCGCATCATCTCGATCTGCTAAACCGTACGGAAGCGTGAAAAAGAAACCTAGGTTCTGTTTAATTTAGGAAAATTTCTGCTTCTGCATGCAGGAGCTTCCTGCCTGACTCAGGAGAGCCGGCAACAACAGCAACAAGCAAGCGGTCTCTCGCGTGATTCATAGCAACCCAATCAATCTAGAAAGAGACATTTGCAGAATGCAATGCTGTCCAGCCAAAACAACCAACCGTGCGGGTGATCCCATTAGTATTTCCTCTTGAGATCCCTTGTGTGCTTGAACTTGAACTCTTACTTGTCTTCACTTTTCATTTGGACAAGCAACACACAAGTCAACCACAGTCGTCGCTCTACCAAACCAGTCATGTCGCCTCACCCCGACGACCACTATAACGAAACTTCCACACCCGGAGCTGAAGTCTCTTTCGACGACGCCGTCAAGACCGCTGCGCTCCAGATCAAGCCCAACCGTATCCTCTACACCAGCGTTCTGCTCGCTCTGCTGCAGCCCTTCCAGAGCGGATGGTCGACCTCGCAGCTCAATCTTTCCGACTACAACAACACTGACGAGTGCAATGCCCGTCCCGTCGTCGAAGGCACATGCACGCTCTTCAGCGGTCACTCTAAGCTCGAGTGGACCTTCGCAGTCAACGCCTGGATCTTCGGTGCCATGGTCGGTAGTCTGCTGTGTGGCCACTTCAGCGATATGATGGGCCGCAAGAAGCTTCTCTT